TATTTTTTTTATTACCTACGCAAATAGTTAAACATTTTAACATAAAAGAAAATATTAATTAAACATTTTTCGTAGTTTATATTCAGAAATGTATTATTCATTTGTGAATTGCCGGAAATTTGAGGGGCATTTCATTTTTTGTTAAAATGTCAAAAATTTAATTAATAATTATTCCAAATAGTATCATTGCATGTACTGTATAAAAAGATATTGCTTAAAGAAGATATTGCTCTTCCCGTGATATCGAAGTACAAGACAAAATCCTCAGTAAAGAAAAAAAGAAGAACAAGTATTAAATGATATAAAATATAAATGATATATTCCACAAAAAACTAAAATATTTTAAATAAAAGGAAAAAGCCTATTAGATTTATCAGCTGATATTAAAGCATTCGATTTCGCATTTTTTCAGAATGATACGCACGAAAGTGTGTAATCAATATAAAATATTACGCAAAACGTGCGAGCAAACAAGTAGGTTTGTGCTCATAGCACGATAATAAAGTTACGCACATTTATGGGTTGAGCAGAGGTTTGAACGACTCGAAAATGCATTTCTGTTTACTCACAACAGGCAGAAGTGCCTCGCGCACGATCTTAAGGTCGATTCGATCGAATTAAATATCGCGCAACGGCGAGTGCCCGCGTTTGCGAAACTACAGGCATCAGCCGGCCAAGTGGTTTATACCATCGTGTAAGTTAAATATTTAAATATTTCCCGGTAACGTGTGTGCCCCGCAGCGAATGGTGCAACTACTTAGTGCGCGCGCGTTGCACTAGTCGGTTTATTCATAGATTATCCGGCTACATCCTGGCCTGCCACGAGGCCTCGCATATAGATGCATCACGCTGCAGTTTCACGATCATTCTTCGATCCGATCGAAATGTCGCGAGGTATTGCGAAAGCAACGCGTTACTGATTTATGATGGACGTTCCTATTTGCGCGCATCGAGAGAGAACAATCAACTCAAATTCTTTTAAATTAAAAGCACTCTTATCAGTTATGTTCCAAGAAAATTTATCATGAAATATTTAATAATAAAATTATATAGAAAAAATAATACTATTTAGAAATAAGACAGTTTAATTGCGTTCGCTTTTACCAATATTTAAAAAATTATTGAGAAATAAAATAGAAAAATCTTATAGCAAACAAAGTTGTGTTAAATCTGAAAGTCAATAGAGATATCAAACACAGCTTGCAATATTTTTATATCGTTTTGATATTAAAGAAGATCCTGTTAAGGAGTTTTGGAAATTGCTGCAACGATATCGAACGTAAATACATTTAATATCGTGCGTGCACGAGATTCCTTTACGGTCTACTCCGGAGAGACTGATATACAATCGGCGAGTAATAAAAGTCGGTACCTACCGATACCACCCACGTACATAGTCGTGTCCGCACCTCTTAACAGTCAATGGAACCACGATTACGCTATTGTTCGAAAGTTTATGGCCGGCCGACGAGCCTTTCATTATACTCTGTCGTGTATCTCTCGCGCACCGACGCGCTTTCTCGCGCGTCGAATTTCTGCCGTTGGGGCCGCAATTTCTCTAAACTTCTACCGATAATGCTGTCGATAAAGTAACGAATTTGTACTCCCGGTACCGTGCATACTACTCCATCACGTCTAGGGAAACTTGCTACTTCAAGAATACATCGCCGGAGTGCTTGAACGTACGCTACCGCGCTTCGTTGTTTCAATATTAAAGCGCCGAATATTGATTGAATAAAATAAACATTAAAATAAATCACGTACAAAATATGTACAAAATACTTATTTTTCTTAGTAAAAACAATATAACAAGAAAAATATGAAATAAAAGCTATATCCAATTTATGTCATATGTGTGTGTGTGTATATAAATATATATATAAAATTATTTAAAAAATTTTTACGGAATTGAATTACATTTTTTCATAACTATACATTATCGTCTTGTTAAAATCACACTTTTCAATAAAATTGTTTATAAAATTTATATTTACAAAATAAATAATAACTCATAGATTTATTATTAAATTTATTAAAACATTTTTGTTTTAAGTCAAATAGATATTTTATTTTAAATTTTAATGTATTTTTTCGTAATAATTATCAATCTGAAAAATGTGAAATGTACAGCCGATGTATTAAAAACATAAGACTGGATTTCGTATAGTAAAACATTGAAAAGGTTCTTATAAAGTACTCAACAACAAGCTTTCGACGAGCTTTACACGACGGTAGATGTTTAGTATTACGTCATTCTCCGCTCTCGGGGATTTCATGAATGGAACGCAAAATTCACGATGCCTGGGCGTAGTGACGTCAACGGTAAACATGACGTCGACGGAAGGTCTCTTCGCGGAAGAAATAGTTCACTGCTCTCTCTCTGATGAAAACGCGACTGCGTACAAATGCACAGTTGATACCTGTGGGTATCGGCACATATTTCCGTCGCGTCGCAAATATAAAAACATCTCCGAGAATATTCGCGAAACACCCGCACGTCGCGATGACTATAACTGGCGCACACAGAGATATCGGGGTAAATGCATTCCACTTCGCGTCATAAACAATTCTGCTTTCTCTCAGCAGACACAACTTTGCTTTCTTTCACCGTGACTAATTTCCGCCGTGTGTGTATCGTCGCAATACGATATAAATTCTTCGAAAATCCTCATTAATCTTCGTCTTCGCCATTCGTATTAAAATTCAGTCGTGCTTTAAATCTTAGCAAAGAAATTCATGGAATATCTCCTCCGCTACGGAGAAATGTATTCCTCGTTGTTAAATCGACTGCATATCTGCAAATCTATTTTTAATATGGCATGTGAATAGAAATAATCTTTTCAACGAGATCTCCTGTAATTTTTTTTAAGTGACCTTTTTACTCACGATTCATTTTAGATAGAATTAAATTTAAATTGCATTATTTCTGTTTCGGATTGCTATACATTTCGAAATAATAAAATTAAATATAATACAGGCTTTCTGGGAATCGTCGCGGAAATTATTGAAATCGGTGCCCAATTTAATGTAATAAATAAAACATATAATTTAATAAAAAAATATTACGAACGTTTCGCGGCTCTAACTTTTCAGCGTAATCTCAGTAAAATTTACGAAACATACACTTCTATTTTAGTTTTCTTAAATTTAGAAGTTCTTACGTGCTATGTTTAGCAAATAACACTGAAACGCTAAGATCAATTGAACTTTATTACTGATAGCTACAAACGCTTTAACATTTCACGCTCAGTATCCTACGACCTATGATCACGAACAAATTGATTGCATCGTGAGGATCCGTTTGACTCTTAATCGGCATGGAGAACGTGACTAAGTTATGGCGACATCTTTAAGTGATATATTTGCGGCCACCAAGGACGTGGATAAAACGGACCTATCGTTCCCGCGGTTCTTTGGTTGTTCTTTCTAAACGGCAAACGTAGATAGAGGACGCGTGCAATTGCATAAGCACATCAGAATTGTATAAAGTTCTACCACGAAATATACTAGAGAACGGTGCGAATTTATAAAATCATCGAAAATGTTTAGATATAATTTCGGAAAATCCTTCGATGTTATCCTTCGATGTCGCTTAAATCTAATTTAATCTGACATAATTTGCAAATAGAATTAGTAAGTAGAATTAGCTTGTGAAATAGAATTCAATAGCAGAGAAACATTCCAACGCGGCCTTGTTTTTTAACGACGTTATCGCTACAATATTTTTAATTTAAAGAATAACCAATAATATAAATCTCTATTCTAATTTAAATCCCTAATCATTTCTTCATCAATTTCATTCACTGAACTTTTATATCGTTAAAAATACTTTTAGAATATAGTTTTTTACATAAAAAAAGTATGTGTATTAATTTAATTTTTCTTAAATGTATGGCAAAAATATAATTGGGTTTTGCTGATAAATAAAATAGATTTGTTGAAAAAATCTGTAGAAAAAAAACGTCGTTCAATGTAGGATGATAAGATATATCGCGCAAGGTCGTGGAGATTGCGCCAAGACGATCGTGGCGAATCATCGCATCGATGTTGAGGACCAGTCGGTCCCCAGGTACGCCTAACCCGCCAGGAATATCTACGTACACGCCCCCGCCGTGCCAGAATCGTATAGGGACTCTATACTAACGTCGAGTGCACTGGCCAAGGCACGGACTCATCCGAGAAATATGGCCGTATATTATTATTAGATTATGTTTTCGGCGCTGTAGTCGAACAAGCGCGCGAACGCCAGCACGACCATTCGTTTCGCTCGGACTGTAGATTTCGATTTACCGGCGCTTACCTTTGCGTGGCCTCTCGGCCAGATGTTACAACGCTGATGCACGAGTCAGTGATACAGGGAGATAAGCCTGCGATCAGTATCTTTGTACGATATTTAGAAAAGAAGCGAAATTCGAGGAAGAAACGGAGTCAGAATTCTTTGGCTCGTATTCATGCCACGCATTTAGCGCGAAATGTGACCGTCTCATCCCGAGATTTATACGTTTAACATGAAGTATTTGTCGACGAGAACCAGTCAGTCATATTCATGGTTCAGCGTGGGATATAAATAAATTATTTCTCCCGCAGAAAAGAGAGATATTACAAGAATATTAAATGAATGAATGACACGATTTATTTTTTTAATCTATTGTTCAAAAACTAGCTTTTAAACAAACGATTCAATAAATTTAATAGCTTTAGTATATCTCATAAAATAATTTAAAATAAATAACCGCATTACTTTATACAAACCTTGATGTAATAATATCGTGTAATGTGCAAGAAAACATTTTCCGACGAAATCGCTCGTTCATTAATCAAAAGAAGCGTGCATTGTGCATGCATCAAATGTCTCGATAACAAATGCGCTGCACGAATCGTGCGGATACTTTACGGTCCTCCCTCGCTCTTATCTCAGTCGTATCGTGAAAAATGGGCGAAATGTAGCCGGGGCACTGTAACCGGCAATTTATATCGAAGCAAGATAATCTCTGACTCACGTTTCGATGCGCCGGTGCGCGAGCCACCCTCTCCGAGGACCCTCTCAGCAGCTCCGCGAGCAGCTCAGGACTCGGCCCCGGAAGTCCCTCGAGTTTGGTCGGACTGGAGGTCGTCCGATGGTGGCAAGGCGTGGGCGGCTCGGAACCGCTGTTGTTATTGCTGCTCGCGTTGTACGAGAGATTTGCAGAGATCTTTCTGCGAGGACGAAGACCTTCCTCGAGCGCGATATCGGTGGTGCGCGGTTTCGCCATCTCGGCCTCCAGCATCTGCCCGTAGGGCCCGCGAAGGGGCCTCTTGCTGTACCTTGATGTTTAAAAAGAAGAGAATATTAATGTTTATAGATATCTATAAGTGTTATATATACATTAAGGATTTGAATAAAAATTTTAACTTTCGGTGAAATACAAATTTTTGAACTATATAAATATGAAGAAACGTATTTACATTTTCAAAAAATAAATGAGAATTTTTTAAATATCATATTTGTATGGGCGGTTTACGACGAAAGTTTCTCAAATGCTTTTAAAGTTCAAAAATATTAAAACCTGATGCTAAAATGTGAATTCCATAAAAGAATTCTCTCTTACGAAAAAAGCCAAATCGGCAATCGGAACGTAAAGAATATTCTTGCTTCACATATAAAACTTCGATTGCTTTGCTAAGGTTATTATTAACGCAAGAATGGAAAAAGAATATGTTAAATCGTCGCGTGTCCATGTCAGGCGCACTTCCGTTCTATTTCGATGAGTCTGGTAGGTTCTCCGGTTACCTTCGAGGCGTGTGGCCCTCGCAATCGGACAGGTCGCTGGGCGTCGCAGGTGGCTCGTCTCTCTCCTCGCTGCTCTGAGCCGACAGCCTGTTCCTGTCCGCGTCCAAAGGCTCTGGCCATTGAGTTATGTACACGCCCTTCCTCCTCTTGCTAGTGTCTCCCCGGTTTCGTCTCGCTTTGCCGGATGGCGAGGACGCTTCCGAGGGCGTCTCGCTCGGCGCCTCGCTGCCTTCGCTCGCTTGACTCAGTCGCGGCTCCTCCGGAGGTGGTGTGATGATCACCTCGTGCGGCTCTATCCTGGTTTCTAAAAACCATTTTCACGATTCTGTCATTCTTAACTGCCTATTTATACTAAAACTGATCAATACTGATATATTTCTGACAATCGGTAATACAATCAGATAGGAATCTACATTGAAACTAACGAAACTTAAGCTCCATAAGCTTCAAATTTTCACAATAAAGCAAATATGTTTTGTCCAAAGCTATACAATGAATTCGGTTCGAAACGTTTGTATAGTTAAAGATTATATTCTAAGATATATATTTTAAGACTAGAATATAAGAATAGAAGCAAACTCTTAGGCATTCTCTTAGACGCATATCTTCTGGTTGATTATACTTCTGCTAAGAAGCCGAAAATTTATTGGTTCTAAATTCTACAATACTTCTTAAGTTCTTATTCCCCTCTAATATTATATAAAATTGTGATTTTTATTTAGTTTGTAAGAAATTTTTAAAATAAATTATAAAAAATTAATTCGTTTGTGTTTTTTGTTTGTGTATGTATCAAATATTTTATCGTTTATAAAATAATTTTAAACATATGCCTTGATTTTTCTTAAGCTTTAGCTTAAAGGATCACTAATGACTAAATAATTCCAAAATCGTTTTAATTTTTAGCTCCAAATTGAACTAAAAAAGTTGATAGCATGAGAATTTATTGTTGCACACAGAAGAACAGAATTTATTAACATGGGATCAAATCAAGCAGGCGTTCATATATATATATCGCGATGTCAGAGACGATGGACAAAGCGTAATGCGGGAATCGCCGGAGAGAAACGAGGACTATTTTGGGTGCATCGACAGGAGCACGGGTACAAAGGTGCACGCAAGTTTCATGTTATTTTGCGCCGACACTATTTTCAGAACGGTGGGTGCCAGAGTGGAAATAGATGTTTGAGCGTCATTGAGTTATAGCCATCTTCATTGATGACTTCACATACGGCCGCCCTCATACGGCTATAACCGCGTTCTATTCACAATAAATGATAAACCAACGCGAATTTCTCAACTGATGACGACAGTATCACGAGGAAGTCGCCGCGACTATCGTTTCATCGTCTTGTTCATCGTTCGCTTCCTGCCGTTGTTTCCTCGCGATGAGCAACGCCGCGCGAGAAATTCGGGTAAGCAGATTTCGCTCGCGCACTCGCGGACTCCCACGCGAGTGTATTTCCGTTTTATATCCTACTGAGATATCTCTCTCACGCATACAATGGAGCCACTATCGCAAGTGGAAACTTTGCTTCTTTTCTTCGAGATTACGTTAAGATGTACCGAGAAAGGCACACGCGATTCGTTTTATTAAAATAATACGGAAATTAGAAATTAATGTAACATAATAAATAAAACTTTAAATAAAATATAAAATAAAATATAATGATATAATATAACAAAATAATGAAATCTAATTGTTGAATAAGAAATTATTTATTATTAAAATCTAATTGTTGAAGAACGAACATCGATGTTATCGACTTAATGTAGAAAGTATCATAATTTCTTCTTCTAAATAATAAAATAAAGTAAAACATAAACAAAGTATACTTCTAACAATTACGAAAATATATTTTTTCTCATTTTCTTTTTCTTAAACTAAAGACAGTTTTAATTCTTATGTGATATTAAGGCCTATGAAAATAATAATGCATATTAATAAATATTTCTGTTCTCAAAATCTCACCTTTTTGAATGGTTTCCTCCACGATGTTTCCTTCGACGATAGGGTACACGGTCTCGTGACCAACGAGTTCAACGGTGGGCGCGTCCGTTTCGACTCTGGGCTCGATTTGATTCGTCTCTGGAACTAGTGGTTCTGGACTGGTGAGTGCACTGGAAGTTGCCAGACTATCCGAACCATCGCTTCTGGGTCGAATCTCCTCGTGATTTCCTTGCTGAGAAACACCCAGACCTTCGGCAGAGCCGACGGCGCTGTCGACGCTAGGCGTCGACGTCCTTGGACTCTGTCGATTGGGGCTGTTTTGAGGGGTCGTGCTACCTGGAGTAACATCACCCCGACGACGAGGTAACGTGCTCGCTCGAATGTCTTTGGTCTCGGAGCGATTAGATGTTACGATCGGCTGAGTTTTTTGTCGATTCGCTGGAAGAGGAAAGTGCGAGTTTACGCTGAAACTAAAATCTGCATCTTGCAGAAAATTACGAATGGTTAGTAAGTTTATTCTTATATATCTGTTCCATTTCAAAGTATTTTAGTTACAGTATTTAACGAAAAAACATTACGCGAATCATCTTTATGAGAAACAATATTAACATTGTAAGATTAATGTAATTATGGTAAATGGAAAATCCACCTGGATAATACAGAATAAAAGTTATTATGTCCATTGCAATGAAATAGTCATTCTAGAATCGTATTATCTTATATAGGAAAGAGGTCTTTAACTCCTGTAAAGCTTCAAAAGTAAAAATATAATGCATTATTTAATAAAATATTTTTTCGAATAATAGAAAAACAAATTATGAAAAAACTTTTTCTCTGGAAGTAAAAAAATTGGAGAAATAAATAAGAAAAGATATAAGACAGATTTAAATTTTAGTCCAAAATATGTTGAACATACTGCTACTATTTGTACATACATTATACTATTAACTGCATTAAAAGAAAACTTTCGGAACAAATTCAAGTGGGCCTCTGCAGATACCTTTCGACTGACGTATTCCAGAGATGCATATTACGAGCGTTTTCAATAATAACTCGAGTACTCTTGCACCGAGCAACAGTGAGGCCGCCTCTCGATCGTGAGAGAAGACGAGAGATGCAGAGAGCACTAGAGGAAATCCTAATTACCTCCTCGAGTGTCACGTAAGTTTGGCAGTGCTCTTAGGCCGAGGAGGTGGATCATTCCAATAATAACAAACAGACTGTGCGAGATGAGAGATCACGAAGATGCGAGAAGCAGCGCGCACTTCATCGGTGGAGTCTCGCGGAACGGACTTAACCGATTAACATATACGATAGAAAATTTTATTCTGCATAATTAAACTGCGGAAATAAATCAGTGCAATTTTATTAAATTTTACTTTCAACATTCTAAATCAGGAACAATGTTTTGTATGTTATTTATGACATTTATTTACTATTTATTTACTATTTATAAGCATAGATATCATTATTTATTGTCATTGAAAAGATGGAATTACGAAAAATACAAATTCAATATTAAAAGAATCGAATCGTCAGAAATAGATATTTTTCCATATTTTTATTAATTTTTGAATAATTAAATCGTATATAAATTTGAATACATTTTATCTGGTAATTAATTACGATTGCAATACTCCAGATAATAAATTAGAAATTTCAAGTTAAAGTAATAATTACAAAAAATGCAGATACACATATCATGTATAATTATTCGATAAAATTTGTTTAAGCTATGTATACATCATAAACAGAAAAGTCACATAAGTAGATTTGACTTCTATGTCCGCTCATGTAAAGAGATTTGGGCAAGCGCAGAAAAGTTTTGGCGACGATATTTCAAAACACCTGGTCCGTCCTCGCAGCTCGTCTTTCGTGCGTAAAAGGTGTCTCAAAAGATTTATTGCCGTGGAAGTGTGAAATGTTTCCGGCTTGCCAATGAGGCAATCGTAATTAATTACCAGATAAAATGTTCGTTTTTTCACGCTTTTTATCATTATAATATTTTGCTCACTTTTATATCTTATTATTTGAATTGTATGAACTGTTATTATTTTAATAACTTTTTAAATAATTTTTAATTAAATAAATTTAATATTTATTAGTAATAAAATCGTTTTTTAGTACCTTTTTTTTATGAAAAGATACAATCAAATTATTGTACTGATAAATTTGTGTATAAGCACTATCTTTTCGTTTTTTATTTATCTTAGGAAGATTTAATCCTATATTGACGGCGTGTAAAAAATTTTTTTTAAAGATATAAATACGCGAAGAGCGATTGAAACCTTGTAATAATCTAAGCAGATAACACGCATACAGGTCAAGGATGCCAAATGCTTTATTACTGTCATTAGAAATTCGAACCTTGTTGACAGCTACACTTAGTGCTTTTCTTATTTCTAGTCTTTCATTATGCAACCGAAACTACTGTGGTATGTAGTTCAGGGTTGAAACCTAATACAAGACTGTCACCGGCGTTCAGTTCCGCGTTTCCAAAGTATCTTACGAAGACACGCGTAGATCGTGGATTAAGAGAAGGATTCCGAGGATGAAAATAGCATTGTCCGCATTATAATCGAATATTTAACAAAAATAACATTTTGTTTTTCAAATATTCGACCAAGCTATATAGCCAAAGAACTCTACTTAATCACGCGTGAGGACATCTTCGATTTCCCTTCTGCTTAGCATGATGACGATAGAGTAAATCTTACAGTAAACACAATCTGCATATCAGTCTTGCTGTAATTGGTTTAATTAAGTCTAGCTCGTAAGACGCCTCTAATGAGCTCAGGCTGCAAGTATCCGCAGCACACGGAAGCTTACCTTGATTAAAGTCCACCTGGCCGAAGGAGGCACTCCTATAGGGCGCGCCGGATCTGTGAAAGGCAAGCAGCCCACGCGGTTCCAGCCTAGTGATGGCATCCCGGGCCTCCCCCTCATTGCCGCCAACGGAAGCAGCGTTCAGGTTATCGCACAAATCGTCTACACTCGTAGCACTGTCCACCACGGAATCACTATACTGTCTCAAGTGTTTCGCCGCCTCCGCACTGGCATTCGGTTTGCTCCTGAGGTCACTGACGTCATCACTGTTTCTCTCTGGTCTGCCTGATCTCGAGGTCTTCCTCGAGTCGTGGCATGGCTTCCGGTATACACTATTTCCCGAGCGATCACTGAGACACTCTTCACTGACACTCTCACTGCGGACCATCGTCTTCGGATTTTCTTGCTGCTGTTGCTGATGCTGTTGATGCTGCTGAGATTGCTGATTGTTATTACCATGTTGGTTACCCTCATTGTATGTATAGCTGCGGTGAGATGAGCGACCCTCGAAACGACTACAACTTGGATTCGAGCCCGTCTGAAAAGAACAAGCAAAAAATGAATCTGGCTTTATGTTGCGTCAAATTAACTCCTTCAGATCTGATTTTGAATGAAATCATGTTAAAAAAAAGTTTTTTAATTCAATTGAAGAGCACTATATTAATAAATAATTTATACTAAAAAAATAATTTTGTTCAAAATTTTGACTATTTTTCCAACACGTACATTATTACATGTACGTTTGATCTCAGATGATGTCGATAGAATTAAATAATTTTAATAGACGTCTTTTCAAATTTGATATAGGTACATTATAATGTACACACAAGGTCTGAAGAGATTAAATTTGTCAAAAATTCCTCGTTCGAATTGCATTTATACCCACTTTATTCGTAGCAGATTTCAATTAAATATTTAATGTCATGTAGACTATAAATCAGAGAATATTTATGCATCATGTACGATTAAAATATCATCGTAGATTAAATATTATTGAAATTTGCGTAATTATTGAAACTTGACATGTATATTAATTTTTGTTACGAGTAATAATGCAACTATTGATGCCATAGCAATAAATTTATTGAAGACAGCAAAATAATATAAATTTAATGTATGAAAGTTATAGGAAACAGAATAACAATCGTGAATCTTTGTAGATTACGAGAGAACGATCATCTATATACGCCTTGGCATGCACCGAATTCTGCGAAATAGTGACAAAGAAATCTCGCGAATCGTGAAGTTCAGCAAAACTTTTCTCGGAATGAGGGACAAGATGGGCATTGAGATTCATTAATGAGAAGTCAATGCTTTGGCTATATTCTACAAAGTCTCGATATATATCTGCAGCTCTTTTCTATTTCTCTCAAAATAGAAATTAAATATTTCAAATATTCGATATTAATCTATATTTTTCTTTTAATGCCTTTAAGTGTTAGAAATTGAAGGAAGATAAAGATTCTTTTAATTTGTATGCATATATCTATACTGCAAAAATTTAATAATAAATAAGTATTCCATCTTAATATAATACCATTATTTTTAACAACGCAAAGATTTCTACAATTGTAAACATAATAAAATACCTCCTTTATGTGTTTGCATTATTAAAAAATCACATTATATTACTTTTAATTTTTTTGTTTATTGAGATAATTTTTTAAAAAATTGTTATATCAATTGTTATATAACACAGATTATTAATTTTTTCATACATCTAATTTTGCAATAATGTTCAAATATTAAAAATAAGTAATTATTCTTTTTCTTGGCAATAGCGAACGTACAAAAGTACAAAAAAGTTCAGTTGTGTAAAATATCGTTCGTTCATGCGTAGCAATAGACGTCAAGCTCTCGTCACCATGACGTTGGAATTCCTCACCTGTGGATAATTTTGAGACGACGGCTGGTATCCGCTAGGAGGAGGGGAGGAAGCCTGTACTCGCGACGGTCTTCTGGGTGGCGGAACCGGTGCTGGTCCCTTGAGCTTCTCGGTGAGCTCGCGAAGGCGCTCAGCCTTCTCGCTGCGGGGGCCGGAAGAGGATTTCTTGCCATTTCCTCCTCCGCCCCCGCTCCATCGAAACCTGTGCAATCGGTCCACCGCTATCACTGCTGGTTCCTGCAGCCAGATAAGGAGAGAATAAATAAACTCACGGGTTGAAATAGTTTTGATGCGTGTGAAACCGAGATACGAGTGAAGCTAAAGACAGTAGAACAAATAATATTTATTTTCCATTTTCCCGATTATCTATTTTCAATGATTTTTAAACTAATATCAAAACAAAGCTTGACAAAACCAAATTATTAATCTTTTTCCAATTGATACCAAAACACCCATTGATAAATCATTTATATATTGATAGAGAGTTATTCTAGTCCGTAAATAGAAAGTCGTTCTTAGATGACTCTAATCATAACTGATTAGTCATCTAAAATACCTGCTTAAAAGTAAGATAGTATTAAAGATAATATAGTCTTTAATTAGATAAGAGAGACTTTTTTCTTAATTTTCAGAAAACTGTATATATTATTTATGTACATGCAAAACATAAAAGATCAGCAAACGAATGTTTGCTTCATAAGCACTTTTCGTCAACACAGAAAGAAACGTACATTATTCGTGTGTAATTACTAATGTACGGTAATAACATGGAGTATATCATGTGGGCGAATGTGTAAAATAGTAGGCCTAATAGCACATCGAAAACTCATATGTACGCGTACATAAGTGTCTAGTCAAAGAAGAAGCGATATTCTATTTTCGTCGTTCGTCTTTATCTTTTCCCTCTCGACGTGGCGCGACGCAACGGCATAAGATGATCCAAAAATCAAGCGATCACGCGAGTGCGCGATTTTAAAAAGCAAATGAAGAAAAGTTGCTCGAATGTGCAGAAAGATCAAGCGTGAATTTTGGCACGCCTCTCTGCAAGCGGATGAATTTTCTTCGAGCGATGAAACCGCGAGTGTTTCGAGGTGAAGAAGATGCGTTGACAGTTTCATAAAATTCAAAACAAAAATTCGTTCATGAGAAAAAGCATTTAATTTAATTACAAAGCTTCTTCAAGTATAAATAAAATTATGTTATAATTAACAAGTATTAAATATTTTTATCATACTATAATAAAAAATGAGAAAATTCTTTTAGACACAAAATTTGGGAGAAAAAGAACAGTATTTTTTAAAAGGTCTAATAAGAATATCATTTCTCTTTCAAATAAGAGTAATTGATTTCTTTGATGGTCACAAAAAAAGAGAAGAAAATTAAAATTTCCTTAAAAACAATAACTATTTCTAATAAAGTGTACTTCAAAGATTAAAATAATTTCTCAAACCTGCTATCGATAGAATTTACCGTGCCATTAAAGAAATTAAGTTCCTAACGGTGACCTTGAGACCTACCTCAGGGCTGCTGACACAAAGTCTTCCAGACCTAAGCCACTCCACTTTGTATCTCTTGTGATCACCTTTTGCACCTCACCAAGTCTACGCGCGGAACTCGAATCTCGCGTAGATTATGGAAAAACGCGATTGAATACTCATCTCGAAACGATAATCCACTCGCGAGTAACGAAACAACGAAGAACCGAATGATTAACTAAACTAACAAACGAGGAACAAATGATCGATTTTGACACGCGATCGATTGAAGCAAGTACCTGCAGCTTGAGCGTCTGATGCTTCGTCCACTGCGCGAGCTGCCGCGGTACGGAGACGGTCTGCGTCGTCGTCGGGACGCCGGACGAGTAGCCGAGCGACGTCGAGGGTGAGCACGGCGTCGTTGTCGGTGGCGAGTACGACGATGTTACCGCCGCCACCGCTGCTTGTGGATAATGGTGCTGGTAATAGTGGTAGTGTGGCTGCTGTTGCTGCTGCTGCTGCTGGCTGGTGCTGCCGATGTTCCCCACCGATGTTTGCACCGCGCCGCGACTATTATTAGCGAGCGTCGGCGTTGTCTCCGCGACGCTCGTAGTAGAAGCAGGAAGAGACGACGAGCAGTCGCCAGCGATTTCCCTGGACGGATAACCACCGGTGACGATCGAAGGGCACGATACCGACGACGCAGACGATGCTGCTGTCGCCGTCGAGGACATGGTCGATGAGGTGATCGCCGGTGGTATCCGAGGCAGCGGAAGACGCGATCGTGGACCGATGCAGCAACAATCGGTGATGCTGGCCGTTAGATCGATCGGCGGTTTTTCCGTCACCGGTCTCTCGGTCAACCGCTCCCGCGAGTCGCTCTCGCGCGAATTCCGCTTTCGCCGGCGCTCCTGCGATTCCTCTCTGGAATTGACCGGTGGCAGGCTTTCCTGAAATAGATACAAATACTTTTCAATTCTTTGTAAAGCAATTCTTATCGTCGCTTATAACCCTTTCGTCCCAAGCGGTATGGTATATACCATGTTCGTTTCTAACAGTACATGTTTGTACCACTATTTTCCTCCTCCCCCTCACTTCCAACTAATTTAATTATTTCTTTCACTAAAAATTATCAATTCGACATTGAAACAGCAGATCTGTGTATTATCTTCGATTTAACGGAAAAGTGTATATACCTATTCAAGTATGAAAGAGTTAAGGATGTATCAGGTATATTATAATCTTTGCAAAAGTGCCTGAAATTGAAAACTTAATTTCGTATAAAAATGAATATTATTTACGTATAAAACAATTTAATAAGGTGATATTTAATAATTAAACTATTTTATAATTTAATGAAAATTTGCTCGTTTTATTTTAATTATAATATTTTTTAATCCTAAATTTTTATCTAACTTTTTTTTAGAAAATAATTATTTATATTTTCTTTTATAACTCTATAGAATATTTTATATAATAAAAAAAACTATTAATAATCATTTTTAAAAAGGAAAAGTCAGATAAATGGAATATTTCAAAAGTGAGATGTGTATGCTTCAACATTCACTATTTTATTTTTCAAAGTGATTCACGAAATGCTAAGCATCGTATGCTATATTTATTAAAAGCAGTCTTATTTAGACGTTTCAATTTGGAACTAAAAATATTGAGGTAAAAGATTCAAATTAAATACCGAAGAAAAATCATTGCTAAATTCTTTTGAAGATAGAATTATGCTACTGGCTTTCTCTTTAGAACACCTCATACATTTTTGTTACTTATTCGCTATGTCTTTGTATTTCACAGACACATCCTCATATCTACTTTATTTCTCCGTCTGCGGCAATGCGTCGCTTTCGTTTCCTTCCATTTCTCTCATGTCCCTTAACTTAGGGACATTCCGTCCTCCGCGCTGTCTCAAATGTATCTCGTATTTTTAAACTTACAAGAAAATGACGTACAAGCAAGCGTACTTTTTCTGAGGACACATTTCGCATTTCGTAAATCTTCCTTACCGCGTCATTTCTAAATAATTCCAGCAAATCTTTTTTATATCACCAAGTCTAAGGTAATATTTTCGAAAGTCACCGAAATCGATAATATCATCAATCCACATGGCGACAAATAACGGCAATTTATACAAGTCTCAGATAGAATTTGGCAGATAACGGCGGGCAAATGTGTCATATGAGATTCACGTCAACTATACATGTCGTTATGACGTCAATGGTGCTTTTTATGCCGCGGACAAACTGTGAAAAGGAAGGCGAAAAGTTAGAAAGAGTGGCAGAGATGAGAGTTGAAGAGTCACTTCAAAATCGGCTTAAGTCAGTGACTGGCGGATTCTATTTGTATGATTGCTTTCTAAATTTAGGTCCTTCGACGTCTTAATTTTGTTGTCGCAGATCGTTCCTGTAGCAACGCGATCAAAGGTCGTTACCAAACGAGGTTCAAAGAGAATAGCCGATTTAAGAAGAAAATGTTGCAAATTTTCTTTGCAGAATAATATAAAAGTAGTCTGCTAAAAATCTAATTCTTAATGCTTTTTTTATTTTAATTTTTAAATAAGGCAAAACTATTTTATATATAATACTTTTATTAAAATTATTCCGAATTATATTATTTAATTTTATCCAAAATCAGAAAGTGGCTATGACTGCAAACAATTAAAATAAAATAGAAAAATATAACTTTTTTCATATAGAATATAAATGTCTATATTATATATGTCTTGAATAATATCAAGAAGATTTTTATTAAACTTCTGATTTCTTTATATTACTTATAATATGATATTTCTAATAAGACTTTTTATAACCGTAAAATAATAGATAAAGTGCAATACCTGAGAGATTCGCAGACCGTATCTGGTGCCACCCAGAACAACGTATCCACCACCGACGCCTCCACCCGTCATAGCTCTTGCAGCACCACCCAGCCATCCTCCAAAGCCACCCCCTCCCGTCCTTTGGGGCCCACTACCCCCATCTCCTCCGCCAGCGCGGGGCATTCTTCATCCTTCCTTCACCCTGAAATTCAAATTATGCTACAAACTAAAAAGACGATCAAACGAAGGATGATACGTCAAAAATAAAGTGAAAAGAAGGATGAATCTTGTTTCGCACGAAAGAGATTACGGCTCACGTGGATTGTCCTTGGTTGCCTTGTGCGAGGACTAACGAGCTAGATTCATCCTACGGAATATTAACGATCTCGGTCGAGTTACGAGTGAGCGGCTCACGCGACGGACGCATCACGCACTTACGCACGTAAAATGCAGGCCGCTGCGTAAATTACTGCGAACGTTCGCGCATTCCCTAATAACTGTCGGTCACGATCTTATTTATTTATCGTACGCCATCGCCGATGAATGAAGCTCGCCGGAATTTGCGAGTCATTACCATTAAAAGAATCGCAAACAGTCACCGCCGCTGCTGCTATACCGGAAGCGACGAGGCCACCGACATGCCGTTGCAAGACCAATGTCGGCCGC